TTATTTATATGTTTTAATAGTGACTCAATTAATTGCATCAAATAATTGTGTCAATTGTGTCAAGGATCTACGAATTTTAGCAATATGTATAGTTAGGAGCTTTATCACAAACTAAGTATCTAAACAGAACTTTGAAAGAAATGTTAAGGAGTTCTATCATCTACAATTAAAACAATTGGAATATATATTTGTTTGCTGCTGAATTTATCTACAATAATTCTAAACAAGTTTCTATTAAATTTATATTATTAAAGTTAAACTATGAACAATATTTTAATACATCTGCAACTATTGTACAAAAAATTAATAATACTATACTTGTTGCTATTGAATTTGCAAATTATTGGAACAATATAATTAAAATTATTAAGAATGCACTTATGAAAGCTCAAGACTGACAATACAAATATATTAATTAATATTGCCAATATTTGAAATTCAAAATTGAAAACAAGATTCTACTTTTTATTAAAAACATTAACACCTTATGGATAAAAATTGACCTGCAAAGAAACTTTTATCAAAATTTATTGGACCATATATTATATTTGCTATTGTATCACCTGCTACTTACAAACTTAACTTGTCTAATACTTTAAAAATCTATTTAATTTTTCATATGTTTTTGCTAAAACAATATAAGAAAATACTATCTGATTTTGAGCAATTAACATCACTATTATCAATCTTTATTCTTAAAACTTACTTTAAGAAGTACAAGATTAAAACAATCTTAAATAAAAGAACTATCTAAGGAAGAACCCAATATTTGATAAAATGGTTAAGATATTTGCTACATGACATAAAATGCAAACCTTTGAAAAATATTACAAATGTCAATGAAAAAATTAAAAAATTTGAATTGATGAAAACCTTTCATTTTTAAGGAAAGTGAGTGTAAAAAAATATCTTATTCTGTACCCTTGTGATGATTACATAATCTTGAACATATGTTACTAATTTGAAATGCCAAGATGTATTACTAATTAATTGTTTTCTAGTCTTTTATATTTGGATAACAGGAATAAAGTACTTAATGTGTCACAGATTTATTAATTTTATTATTTATTATTATTGTGTTTTATATTTTATTACTATTTTTCTATTATTATTATTATTATATTATGCACATTATATTTTAATAAGATGTTTAAAACATTATGCAAATTATATTTATGTAACATTATATTATATATTATTATTATTTTTTTTTATTTATATTGGGAAAATCATGTATTAAGGACTTGAATTTTACCTTAATAAAGCTCTCAGTTGAGTTTTTTCTTAATCATCTCTTATTGTTTTAACTGGTAGAAACAGTTAAACTCTTGCATAATTTTACTTTTGACAAATATATGTATCAAAAATTGATTTTGATTTTCATATACATTCAAGTATTAAACAAAATTCATATATAAATATATAATAAAACATGAAAACTTAGAAATCAAAACATAACAATATATACTCTTGAAATCATCTTACAACAAAAAAACAACAAAATCTAGAATAATAGAAAAACCATTAACACAAATACATAGTTACTGAAACAAACTAACAACAATATTATTTTCATTTCAAATATTCTATTTTTAAATATTTTTCTCAACTATATTTGTTAACAAAAAAATTATTTTTATTAGATCTAAATGAAAGATTAAATTGTCAGAAAGGAATTGACTTTCCATAATCCGTATATAGTTACTTTATGAATTTTTTTAAAGTTTTTTTACTTTGTAATAAATTAATGTTATAGCAACTTATTTCAATATATTACTACTGCTGTAAATCCAATACTAATTATCTTTGTAAAAATCACTTGTATCATGATGTCTTTATTTTATTGAGTTTATAGCTGTTTCTTGTCTGCCATTGTTATAATGTCTACATGGTTTCTGACTATTTATGCAATAATATATGAGAAAGAAAACAAAAAGATAAATGAAGTGAAGAAATTTAAGAAAGCAATAACTATGACTATAAAATACCGTTGTCATGATTATTACTAAGATAAAAAAAAAACTTCATGTATACAGTATATTATAATATATCTTTTAAATGAATCTATTAATATTAGAGTAAAAAAAAAGAAATTAAATTTGAATTTAGTAAAATGAAAACAATTTTGAGATAGGCATATATATTAACAAAAACAAGTTAAATTAATTTTGATACGTACAGTATATGACAAGGTTTTAAAACAGAAAAAAAAAAGCGGTCATGTATACGTTAATCATGAGTTTTTGTAACTGTAAACAAATCTCAAATTGTACACAAAAAAAGTAATTTCCACTTGATTTACTAAATCATAACATGCAATAATCACATTTATTAACCATTCTCAAAGAACAGAATCGCTATTATACGTTACACAAATATTTGATTTGATTTTGACACCTCTACAAGAAAGACAGGCAACCGACAATCGTGACTTTATAATTAATAAATTTTTTTGTATGAGAGAGCTAATGGTGAATTAAAATAAAAAAGTAGATAACCTAACATTAAGCCAATACCGTAGTTTAAATCGTGACTTTATAATCAAGCATTTTTCTTATACAGTATGCAAGATTTATCTTGTGATTAGTTTGTGCATGTAACGATGCGATGTATGGTGCAATTTACTTTATATGATTGAACGTATGCCGCGCTAATTGGTCAATAAAAAAATTTGAGTGATTGAACACAGTGAATATACATTTTTTAAAACTTGAATTTTAGATTTGATCGATCGAAATTAATAATCAATTGATTTCTTTTTTAATGTATTCCTTCACAAATTCGACACTTTACACTGAGATTGGTAATCAGAGTACTACCAGTGCGATAACATATTTAAAGAAAGTATACAAAAGGTTCCGTGGTTAAGAAATTACAGAGGCTCGAGATTATTTTCTGGTAACACGTTTCTATGGGATCGGGACCAACTATTGTATAATAGGGCTAGTCGGATAGACCAACCTGTACATATACGGTACTTTCTGTTCCTAGAAAATCCCGATATCTTTTATTTTCATTGCGTCAATATTTACCTGCTGTGGTTTAGTTGATTCTACAAACGCGGCAATTGGTGCCAAAGGTATAAAAAGTATAACTCGGAAGTTGATTATTTAAATTCCGATGGAAGCTACATCTGTATGACTAGTTTTTTTTTTTGCCATTTTTGCCAAGACGGATCTTAATTCGAGTTTTTAATATAACCTCATTATGAAGTGGTGCCTGACTTGTAATCTACGGGATCACAAATCGATGATTCGACAGGGTGTTCTTCCGATCAGGGCTTTATTTGTTTTAATTTATCGTTATACGATCTGCACTACAATCTTTACTACTTGCCATATATGGAGAACTATGTATGTATGTAGTGCAATACAGTACAGTACGTATTTTATGACAGTTTATCAATCTAATTTATTATTATCATTACTATTATTTTGAGAGGCTAGCGAAACTATTTGATGATAACGCGGGGATCTGTGAGTGCGAAGAAAAAAAAGCAAAAGCTATATACTGTACAATGGGTTAGATGTATGTATGTATGTATGTGTATGCGTATTTATGTATCTCGCATTTTATCTGAATCAGCGAAATCAATAATTTCACTTGTGAGGCTTAGAGTGTGAATAAAGGAAATATTGTATATGTGCAATATCGTGAAAAGATAGAATTATATGCAGAGCAAAGGATATGAAGAGATCGAATTCCCTTCTATAATTTAATGTTTATTTATCAAACCTTGAACATGTTTTAAAAGGTTTTCGCGTAATGGCAAACATTACATAACGTGATTAACAAAAAAAACTTAATGTTCTTATAAGATGGGTCATGGATTTCTTGTGTTGAACTGATACAAAAGAGAAAGAATCTTATTTAAGAAAAAAAAAAGAAAAAAAAGGAAAAAAAAAAAAAAAAAAAAAGACACTTGAACAGAAAAATATATGTTCTATTAATCTATACAACGGAAACAGAACAACATAGACTGTTTCGCCTGGAAAAAGGAACAGATTGAAATTGATGTGGCTCAAAATAAGTGTCCATATCATCGCTTCCGGGCGTTGTGCTTGCAGTTACTGTGTTGCTGCTAAATAGTTCATCCAACAAACCATTTCCGCCTGCACTTCCATTATTTCCTCCGCCATTATGATTACTGTAACTTTCGACCACCTGGTCAGAATTAAAAGTTTGAATTGTGGCATAAGAAGACGCTGGGCTTTGGTGTTCGTGATTCATGTAGTAGTTAAATTTATCAACTGGTTGAGGATCCAAATACGTATCCATACCATGATGATTGTTTAATGAATGTGGTGACATATAATCTGGTGTTGCGGAAAAAAAGGACCTTCCGCCGGCGGCGTCCAAGGCGCCAAAATTTGGTATGTGTACAAAAGCGTTATTATTATTATTATTATGGGAGGATTTCGATGATAACATTGGATCAATGTTCATGATGCTGTCGGAAGAGGGTACTAGGTATTGAGGTGAAATTTCATAATGAACCATCTCTGTTGGAGTCGGTGGTAGGTGAGTGTATAATATGTGTGTAGCATGAAGATTTTGTTGAACGCGTAAATTATCGGTGGATTGAGCAATATTCTGGTTCAAGAGAGGTGAGGGTGAACGCTCGGACGAAGGTAAGCCATCTTCAGACTGCAGTGGAGATGGTAATGACGTGGGGGACGGCGGTGATGAATTGGCTAGAAAAAATGAAGATGTCGATGTCCTGCTCTCCGCGAATGCGGATTCGGCAATCGCGGTAATCATCGCCTCGTCGGCCAACGGTGGATTCCTGTTTGAATTGGAGATGGCGGAAAATGTCGTCGTCGAAGAAGTTTGGGATATTGGACTGCCTCGACCTTTAGAGGACTTTCGGGTTTTTTTGGTACCGGGTTTCTTTGGCTGATAAACATAGTCGGGATGATCTTGCATATGTTTCAACTTCATTCTGTCGGCAAATTTTTCCCACTTGAATCGTTCCTCCTCGGTTTCTTTCCACCACATCTTTGAGATCACCTTGGATACCTCAGCGTTGGTCAGACTTTTGTTCTGTGCAACAACCCCAGGTTGTTTGTCCTTTCGATAGAGGATGAATGCATTGGGTGGACGCGGAGTCCTTTTTGGTTTTTTTGCTCTCGGTTTGCGTTGCCGAGTCCTTATCGTGGTGCTATTGTTGTTGCTATTGTGATTGTTGTTGTTATTACCGTTGCTGCAATTAGGTTTCTTTACCGTCGGAACACCCAAAATCGAAGCGGAGATGAGACCGGACGAAGAAGTGGTGTTTGGCAAGATGAGGTCAGTCGGTTCAATTATTTGTTGATCGTTTGTTCCTTGACCAAAAGATTCGGCGACAATATTTTTAAATATGTCATCGTAAGGATGGTAAACACAGGATCGAGATATTTCATCCTTGGAAATATAGATTGTGTCTCCGTCGATTTCATTGTTACCATTTGCCTTGACGCCAGTTGTGATCGCGTCTTGTTGTCCCGGTTCGGGAACGTCAAACATTAAGAGGTGACAGAATTTCTTTTTGATTTCTTCATTCATCACGAGGAAAAGGAGAAGAAAGTTTTTTTCTAAGGAAAAAGAAGATAACGAGAAAGGTTGATGATACTCGAGAGAGAATACTACTGACAAAGGAGTTTTTTATTTTTAAAAATTTTCGATTGTTAGAGTTTTTTTTTTTTTGTTTTTTTTTAAAAAAAGAAGAAATCCAAAGGTCTTATATATATAGGGATTCAAATATATTTTTAAAATGCCACACACCATGTCTAGAGAAAGTTTTTGTGATATTTACGGTATTGTCACCTTCCTTTTCTGGATGCATCCATCAATTGAGTTTTAAAGGAAAGACGGAGTCATTATTTGTTCTCGCCAAAATAGTGCAAAGAAGCACAACGCTTGGATTCCGTGACACGGTCAGATGAATAAACAAAATTAATCCTTGCTTATCCTGATGTCTTTTCGAAGATGGATTTTTTGTACATTGTATTATGTTGAATATAATAAATTTGTGGCACCAAATACATTTTTTCGATTAATAAATCATGGCGTTATGTGACTTTGAAATTGTTTTTCTCAGGGTGAAGCATATACCAATCAATCGAAAGATTTCTGAATGGCAGTCATCCTATTGTCAAAAAAACGAGACCCGTGTAAACAAGTCTTTATTACACCGCGCACGGTTCTCCTTTGACATAAATCGTTAAATGACAACAACACATGTATGCGTATGTATTTGACCTGCCAAAACATTTGGATATTCAGGAGAAGAAACTTAACTCTCGCGTTTTGGTTCACGTGATCATTACCATGCGACGTAAACTTTTGGTGAATAATCTCGAATCGAAGCGAAAGGGAAATTGAGTTTTTTCCAATGTCCACTCATCATTATTTAGACCATCACCACACCACCACCCTTTTTAGATAACAAACAAAGTAAAATCGAAAACACGGTAACCGATGTGGATTAGGCGATATCCTGGATATAATAGAGATTGTAAGGGCAGTTCTATGATTGCGCAAGTACACACACGATAAAGGATTTCACGGTGATTCACATGTCGGGAGGAGATTTCTATTAGCGTGAACTTTATTTTTCAACGATCTATGCGAGATAGAGGAATTTTATTTTTATTTTTATTTTTTCATCTTTATTTTATTATTTTTTTTTTTATTCTTGGATTTTTTTTTTCAAAACTAATAATAATAAATAACATGATGGTGAAGACAACTTTCTCTGCTTCGTTGATTCAAGTGGGAATCTTGTATAGAGTTCCACGATCAACTCTGAGAAAATATTCACGAGCTTAAAGAATGCACATTATGTAGTTGTAACAATGAAAATGCACGCTCCCAAAATATCCTCGTTTCATTGAGGCATGAGGAATTATTTGATCTCCTACATCAATTTTAAGAGCGACGCCCCTTGCTTTGAGTTGAACCTTAAAAGGACATCTGACAAGACTGGGCATCTATGAAGCCATATGGTGTGATAAATATGTGCGCACAAAGTTCATTCAGAAATCTCCGAATTTTATTTATTGTCAAATTCTCGCTTTTTTCAAACTGTTATTGTAAATTGGCATTTGATGCGGACCCATGTTTAAGAATTTTTTCTTTCTTTTCTGGTGCCATTCAACCTCTAATGGATGGTCTCGTTCGGATGCGTATAAAGAAGTCGGAATTTGTGAATGCTATATAGGAACTAAAGAGAAAAACTTTAATTTTAAACATGCGGCACGTTAAAGGTGTGTTGTGTATGATTGACGAACGAATTTAATTAACAATCTGTTTGTTTCTCGAGGAGCTAGTGAATTTAAAGAGCGGGACCGTCGTGTATTCGCTTACGGTTGCTCGCTGCACTCAAGAATGAAACGTGAAATCTGTATGAAAAACAAAGAATTCGTTCTTTCTCAAGGATCGGACTATTGAAGATACGCAGAGTACAGAGTTTAGCGCGGGAATGACCCGAGTACCAATCGGAATTCTTTTTTTTTATGGTTTATCACGGTCAAATAAGCACGAACACGAGTAACACGCTATTCAACAATTGATGTCATCAAGTACACCTAGAAATAATAAACCGACATCAGTTTTTCACCTTACACACCACACACCGACCGTCTTAATGCCCGTCGTTGCGATCAATGGATAAGAGATGATGCTGCGGCACACGGTTGTCATTTTTCTATAATTACCCGAAAATTCAAGAAATTTAATTTGTCAATGAATAGCGCGGATAATTTTAATTAATCTTTTAATTCAATTGAGTATCCACTTTTTTCAACTCATTTTATGCATTGCATCTTATTTACCAATTGGTGACAAGTGATATTGAGGCCTATACTGTACGTGTGACAGCTCGCATAGAATGGTCGACCGACAATGTCCAACGAATAAAGTCGACGGGATAGGTTATTTGATGGATCCTTCCAAGAAGATGCTGACCGAATAAATAATATCAACGACAAGGCTGGTCCACGAATTATTCGCCTGGGACTTGTCGGTTATTGTGATGTTCGTTTGGTGATCCTATTGTTAATTCATTTGGGTTGAGGGTTTGTGCAAATAAATACCGTATGTATATGCACCACGGGATTCTCGAAACCAGGTGATTAATGTGTAAAATGTGCGAGGGCGTGCAGGCGCGTTGGTTCACGGGGTCGGAATAAAATTTGATGCGTGATGATGCCAGATAGAGAATGAAAAATAGGAAAACCATTTCCTTCGTGCTTCACAGCATCTGGTAGAGAAGAATAGAACGAAAAGAAAGAAGCGCGTACGTCGTGATTCAACAATATCAATAAGGTTGCTCCATTCCAGACAACGAGTTGATGATGTCTCCTTACACAGTTATATTCCAAATTGAGAAAATGGTGTATTAAACGACATGGTTTAATATTTCCCCATGGATCTATTTTTCTCCACGCAATTATTTATGCTGTATTGATCGTCCTACTGTTACAGTATCACAATCATCTTTCCAGACACCAGCAATAAACAAATGACCATTACTTTATACATTGTCAAGACCTTTTTATTTCCTTTCAGATGTGTAACACTTATAGAAATAAAGATTGTGTTGTGACTATTTACCTTCGAGTGTGTACCCGTTGCATATTTACGGAACGGACATTTTATCAATACTGTAATTTGTTTGTTATTACGAAACCAACTTTCAATTTTTTTAAGATCGATATTTACACTTGTGATAACCACGCTCGCAATTATACTTCATTGGTGCAGTCATTAACAAAGAGCAAAATAGACGCACCTTTTTTCCATTCAAAGCAAGTCGAAGAATTTTCCCGTGGAACTTTTGATCTGAATGTGTGATTGGTTCGACATATTAATTATCCTTTCATTGTACTGTATCAGCAATTTTACAGGAGCCACGATATGTACTGACCAAAAGAATGGACCTTTTCCAGCGAAGTACGCAAAAAGATTTAAGAAAGGTTTCAACCAACCAACCAACCAACCAACCGAAACATCACTATGAGTTTGAACCAGAAGTCTCAACCTCTATTATGAGATTTAGCCTTATGTTCAACGTGGTCGTACATGAATCCTTATCACATCAAATCGTTTTTGCGAGACATTTTTGTTTATAAACCATTTGGTTCCACTTGGCATTTCTAATATATCAATCCCGCGCGATAACCTAAGATACTGAAGCTTTTTTTTGTTTTGTTTTGTTTTGTTCATTAGGTATGACTTTATTTTCTTTTGTAACAACAATACGGGAAATTATTATTAAAGGCTGCAAGATGACAAAACAAGTATCTTGCGATTCTTGTAACACGATTAAAAAATCGCGTACCTAACAATTCTATCGAGAGACAGAATCAATTCCAGTCGTGCGTGCACGCAAGGGTTGCACATGTGACATTACTGGTTTTTCTTTCGTGACCATCTCTTCCAAGGCTACGAATATTCTTGTAGAAAATGCGTATCTATGGGAAAATGTTGTAAATTGCAATTTTACGATACGAACCAGTCGATTTGAGTGCAAACCGTCGCCGAAAGCAAAAGGCGTTAGCGTTCTTTGTCATAATGGATAATGTATGGTCGTTTGTAAATAAAATGGATAAATAAATAGTTGATTATTTGCAGATTTGTTTTTCTTTTTCTTTTTTTTTTTTTATTGAACACGTTTATTACATCAATTAATAAATGTGTTAATGGTTTTTTATTTTCACTTAAAATTTTTTTCGAATTTTCTCTTTATCAACAATAAACAATCACGCGACCCTTGAAGAAAATTTGAATTCACCCAACGACTCACCTTACCCCACAACACGGATTATTAATTAATTAATTAATATGATGAAGGAAGTTGCGAGGTAATACGTCTTGAATGAAATGTACTTAATTTTTGATTTGCGATTCAAAAAAACTTTAACACTGTGTACCAATATCTTCCACTTGGAATTATTGGTGCATCATTTCCTTACCACAAACTTTTTGATATCGATTGTAATTATTACCATTTCATCATTCATTAAGATTCGGTACATCCAACCGTTGATTAACGAGGCCAACTCATTATTAAAAAACAATCCACCTTCGTATCACTTTGCCACAAAGAACAATTCACAAAAAAGGTATTATCGATGGCTGAAAAAAATCGTCATCACCGTATGGCACCATCGATTTCTAAAAATCGATCTTTTCAATTACAGTGCTGTAATTCCGTTCCGAAACATCAAAACAATAAATAATTAATATACATATTTATGATTTTTATTTTATTTTGTTTATATTTTGTAAACAGATATCATTTTTGTGGTTTGTCGTATAATCGATATAAAGAACCGTGTTTTAGAAAAAGCCGACAATGGGATTTTTTTATTGTTCGAGACGCACGTGTACGGTGGAAATGTTGTAAAAAAGAATTCCCGACACAACTATTGTACACATAGAAAAGTAATTGTCCACACTCTCAATTAAAAATGGTTTAATGATTGCAAAATAAAATCAATATACTTATATAAAAAAAGAAGAAAAAAATATTTAACAAATATTATATCTTCCAAATTCAT